AAGTACAGCATTATACTTCTGGAGCAGCTGTATGAGAATATATACCATCATTAAACCACTTTGTTGATGGGACAAGGAGGCACAGGGAGGTCATGTAGTTTAGCCAAAGTCATGTAAGTAAGTGGCAGACATGGAGCCTGAGGCTCAGGCCGAGACTCCTTAGAAGACGCTGCTCCCCAGTGTACGGCCCCTCCCCCCGATCACGCTCAGCTGGAGAACACAAGCGCCTACGATGAGGCTCTCTAGGTCAAACTAACTGAGATAAAAACAAAGCTATCTATTTCCGGGATGATTGTGACATTTGGAACAGGCTCCAAAGGAAACAGGCAGAGCTAACACGATCGGTTTCAGACTGGGGCTTGGCGGAACGGCAGCCCTGGTGAGAGGGCCCAGGGAGCGCTCCGTACGCCCGGCTAGGCGGGACCTGCGCAGGTCTGAAGGATTCGCATGCCTGGGTCTGCGAGCCCCGCACGAGGTTTGTTCCCACAGTCCACGTGCACCTCTGGGCGCAGGAGGGCTGCACGGAATGGGAGGACAGCCACGGCAGAGCGTCTCCACTCCTGGGGACGCTCGGCCCCTTCCCCAAGCCACTCTGGCGTCCTGGCCAGGCCCTCTGGGGGCGGGGGCAGCACCCCACCCCCAACCCCACCCCACCATCGTCCGGAAGCTGTGTCTCCGAGTTCCGGCTGCGAACCGTTTCAGAGCCCCGCGGACTGATAGCGATGCCCGGACTCCCTCTGGCAGTGAACACACCAGCTGTTTCCATAGGCCTAGGCCAAAGATGGTCACGGCAGTTTAGAATTTCCCTCCTGAGTGAGTTTTAAATGAAAACTTCAAGTTTCTAAATCAAACAGTAATTCACTTTCCTACGAACGAGACACGCATCCCCTTACAGTTCAGAACGACGACAGAGCACGGGATCGCTGACCTCCCCCTTGCCCCCGACGCGCCAGGTGCGTCATGCAGCAGAGCACAGCCGGAGCCTCCCAGGACGGGACCGGGGCTGCGGAGGCGAGAGCGCGCAGTGGACTCTCCCACTCCGGTTTGTTCCACCCTGGTTCTCATCCCTGCGCCTCCCCCCGCACTTCCCTCTTCCTCATCAGCTCCTCCGCTTCCTCCCAGCCTTCAGCTGCGGTCCCCGCAATCGGTCTTTAGATGCTTCTCTCCTTGTACGACACACTCACGTGGGTCACTATTACCCACGCTCGGGGCTTCAGACGTGCGCTCACCGCCCCCAGCTCAGGCCCAGGCCCAGCCCTGGCCACTCTCCCGGCGCCACACCCCCGCACCCAGCCGCCTGCCGGGCCGGGTCCAGCCGAGGTCCCACAGGTATCTCGAAGACAAGTACCCGAGTGGCCACTTTCTCAACCATCCCCCGCAACTTGCCTCTCCTTCCAGAGTCCCTACGCTGCCACCACATCTCACACCGAGCAATACCCTCGGGCCCCTCCGTCACCGTTCTCATGTTCCAGGAGGACACTGTACCTTCGATTCTGCGGGTCCTCGGGTCCCATGGCCAGAAGTGGGGGCGGTGTGTGTGTAACACCTATGTTCGTACCTGTGTTTTGTCACTATGTAATTATGGAATCTTCAAATGACAGTAACTCGTTGTAGATAAAAAATAACTTCAGCTCATCACTACAAGTTTACAGTAGTAATTCCGACTGCCATTATATCATCATGCAATGTGTCAGTAAAGGTGTACATGTAATACATATCTCACAAATTTGTCTTTAAGATATTTTGATAACTACAATATAATTTTTTTATAACCTCCTGCATTTATTTTATGCACTTAAAAATATTGCTCAGAGAAGGGGCCCACACACGAGAGAGCCAGAGAGACGCCTGGCACAGCGAAGGCTTCGGACCTTCCCTCTGAGGGCCTCCCGCCCACCCGCCTGGGGCACGTGCGGTGACCGCTCACCGGGTGTCACGCGTCGGGCTGGGCCCCAGGGCTGCCGAGACGAGATAGACACAGCCCCTTTCCTCAGGCTGGGTGAGAGGGGGAGGCTGACCATTGCCTACTGTGCGGTGCGCGCCACTTTCTAGCTGACATGGGGAGCCGTGGGGACCACAGGAGGGGCAGCCAACCAACACCAGAGACTGGGGGAGGCCTCCTGGAGGTGCCGATGGGGCCAAGTGTTAAAGAACAGGTAGGATCCAGTCAGGTGAGGAAAGAACGCAACCACAGTGCCACGGACCATAAGTCAACTTTTCTGGAAACGATGATGCGTTGGAAATACTTGCTCCAGGAAAGAGAAATAACTTTATGCAGTGTTGAGGCACTGCCAATAAACACACTGTTTGATGCTGTATAGCAAGTCTCTGGACCCAGGAAAAAGGAAGGAAGGGAGGAAGGAGAAGGAAGAAATAGATGAAGGAAGAAGATGAACTTTCCTGTGGCTCCTTGACTGAATGGCATAAAGATACATTTTTCAGAATTATTTTGGATGTTGAATAACTGAGATACATTGAATGACTTCTGCAGCAAAATGTATGTATGGCTCAAAGAGTCTTCACACCGGGCCATCCTGGAAAGGTATGACGTTTCTGAAATGGGACAGAGTCTCCTGGCCTGGACCATCTAAATTAGGGATATGTCCAGTCTTGGGAGGTGGTTCTCAGGTCTGGCTCATTACCAGGTGATTTGGAAGGTGGGAGGCAATGCCCAGTGTCTTCCTAGAACCACGCGCCCCTTCGGGTTTCCTTATTTTCTCGAGCAGATGGGACGTGCGTTCATTCAGCTGTCCCCAGTATTAAATTACAGCCCGTTTCCTCTCTTTTCCATCACAGAAACAGGGAGTTCCCGTCTCTGCACCCCACTTCACGTAGGCGTTGGAACTGCACTGTCCTAGTGGGAAGCGCGAACGTCGCTGGTACGAAGGATAACTGATTAACTGCAAGGCGGTTTGGCCACATAAACCATAAACAGTGCCCTGCTTTCCCAAATCCTACAAGTACAGTTAATGCTATCTCAAAAACAAAACAAGGTCCTTCCCTGGAGCTGGGAATTTTATTTCTCTGACTGTTAACATTAACCTGGAAACGCTGCCACCTACCAGTCCATCCCCATGCTTCCCCGAGAGAAGTCGCAGCAAACTCACGGCCCTGACGCACAGTTGCCACGCCAGACCCCTGTCTGGGAATGATTACGCCTGCACACGGATCTAACTTCGGGCTGGAACAAGTTAGCACCTTCCTCTGACCTCTCTCCGAGCACAAGACGCACACAGAGGCCAGGAACCAAGAGCCTTTCACAGCAGCTGGCTCCCCCAGGTGCTGGGATGGGCCCGGACACTCCAGGGGTCCAGTCGATCAGCAAGTGTGAGTTTTGGACGTGAGCACCTGCCAGTCCCGTTATTAACTGGGAGCTGAGCTGTTTTTATGAACTTCCAGCCTTGAGAACTGCAACACATTTTTGAAGCAAATTCATTTCTAATTTAACTGAAAAATAAAACACTGTTTTTCTTGTATTTTCACATCCTTCAACGACTGAAAAAAAGTTGAAAGTCCTTCAGGGTTTCCTTCTGGATCCAAAACTTCCGCCTCTAGCCAGCTGCTGTCTGAGAAATACGACGGCCACTACGGCCACAGACAGCACAGACTGGCCCTTTCAGAAGTCCTCTCCGCGGGACGCCGCTACCTGCGGATCGATGTTCTGAAAACATGTTTTAGAGAACACACGCTCTCCTTGCTTTACCGTAACTGTACTGGGGGGTAACAGAAAGGGGAGCTAACACCGCAGGCCCATTTAAGCCAGATGTCCCCAAGGCCACGAGGAGCCCCGAACCCAGCACACTCTGCGTGGGGACTGCAGGCTCCCGGCCGCTCCGCGGGGCTCGTTTTGTTGCTCCTGCTGACACCGCGGTTCGGCACTACCGTCCAGCTCTCAATTAGCCTGGCCCAAGGAAAAACAAAGGCCTGTGGGTGTAATTTAAAAATTTCTACTAGCTACATTAAAAAAGTATAATGGAATAGATGAAATTACTTTTAATAATATATTTCACTTGACCCAATGTATCCTTTTAACAAACTTTTTCACCAGAGGATGTTTCATTGATATGAGAGAGAGAGAGAGAGGGAGAGAGAGAGAGAGAGAGAGAGAGAGAGAGAAAGATGCGTGAGAGAAACATCCACTGGCTGCCTCTCGTATGCAACCTGATTGGGGATCACACCCGCAACTTAGGTATATGCCCTGACTGGGAATTGAACCTGCAACCTGTGGTGTACAGATGACACTTTGACCAACTCAGCCACCTAGCCAGGGTGAAACCCAGTGCATCTTAAAGCATTATCGTTTCAACATGTAATCACGGTAAAAATATTAAGAAAATAGTTTACTTTTTTTGGTACTAAGTTTCTGAAATCCAATGTGTATTGCACACTTACAGTACATCCCGATTCAGACCAGCCACAAATAACCCATTCAGGATGGACAGGCGGACAAGTGGTGCTGTGGGAGTACCAGAGCCACCTAAATTCTAGGGTCCCTTCGCAGTGCCTGCCAGAGACCGGTGCTTCCCAGTGTGTCTGGGTAAGACGCCAGCATCTGCAGCAGGAACTCACAAATGCCCCAACGTCCAGCCTCTGCCTTTCTGCACCTGCTGCTGCAGAAGACTGGTTTCGGTGGCAGCTGGGCACCCCTGCTCTGCAGAGGAGGACAGACAGGCTCTCTGCGTCACTGGGCCGCAGCAACGGAAGCTCTTCCCAGTGTTTTACTCACATTTTCATGTAACTCATTTATGCTGTACGGAGCTCTAGAGAGAGGTATGGGTTCCGACTCGACAAAAATAATTAAAACATATTTAATTATGTAGTCAGCTTTACTTAGTTTCTATGCACCATTCAAGGACAGCATTCACTTTAACTAGAAGTGGAACTCCATATGGAATCTACAAACCCCTGAGGCCTTACAGATTCTCACCAGTTCCAGCCTTTCATGTTCAGTAAGTATTTCTGCCCATCTACTTACTTCCTTGCAATACTAAAGTAATTACCTTGGATAAATGTTCCTTTATGGTTTCATTGTCTCTCTTCACCACCTGCATCATTTCTTGGCCCCCAAGGTAGGCAGCATTAGCTAAATTGAAGAAAAAAAAAGCCAAACACTTAGAATAGACAGGACAAACACAGCTATCAAATCAATTGCAGTAAATGCCTGTTCCCGCCCCCAGCAACCTCTCCCTCCCCTCTCACTGGTCAAGGGCTATCTGCGGTCAGGCAGGGGGCGTCTCTGGAAACAAGAGCAGGTCCTGTGAGAGAAGCCTGCTCACCCTCACCTGGCTCTCTCAACGGCGACCTGTGGCAGTACGACGGCCTGAGGTCAGACACCACGGCAGATGACATGTGTGACTGTTCCTGATCAGTGTGTTTTTACGATTTAAGGATTAGCAGCATGAACTTTTACAGATACATCACCAGAAGCCCACGTTTCTACAGATCTCTACCAAAGGCTTCATCTCCGAGGAGCAGAGAGCAGGTAGTCTGTGGCCGGCAGGATTCTGAGCAGACACAAACATTCCGTACCCTATCATCGCCTCCCTTCTGAGCGTGGGTGGAGCCTGTGACCGTGATAACAGGTCACTCCCAGACCAGGGCATGTCACACAGTGAAACGACTGTAAGGGAGAGGATCCTGATGGGCCTGACCTTATCCCAGGAGCCCCCCAAAATCCGAGTCAGCAGGAGGGGAAGTCAGAGATTCAAAGCACTAGAAGAGGAAATGCACCCTAGCGGGTTTGAGGTTAAAACGCACATAGAAAGGACCTGAGAGTGACCCCTAGGAGCCGTGAGGGAAAGCTGGCAAGCAGGGACCACAGCCACAAAGCCACAGGAACTGGATTTTGCCAATGCCCTGAGTGAGCTCAGAAGTGGATTTCTGGATACGCAGGGGCATCGGGGAGGCTTCTGAGGTGCAGGCAATGCGGATTCTGGAGCCGGGCGGGAGTTATGTGGGGTCTCGCTCGATGCTCATCCATGGAGGCAGACATTTGCGTTTTAAACACTTCTCTGCTGTGTCATTGTTGAATTAGGAAAAGTTCAACCATTCAAATAACTTGTAAGGAGTTGCATTTTTAAAAGTAAAGTTTTCATCAAGCCATGTATCCTACCCACCTTTACTCCTACTCTTTTTTTACCCCTTATAATTTCTCATCTAAGTATATTAAAAATTTTTATTTACTTTTTAAAAAATTTTGTTTACTTTTCGAGAGAGGGGAAGGGAAGGAGAAAGAGAGGGAGAGAGACAGGTGAGAGATACAATCACATGGCCCCAGCTGGGGACCTGGCCCGCACCCCGGGCTTGTGCCCTGCCTGGGACTCGACTCGGCGGTCTCTCGGTTCGCAGGCCAGCGCTCAGTCTACTGAGCCACGCCTGCCAGGGCTCATCCAAGCATCCTTTTTAAAAATAAAAGACAGTAGAATAACAGTTGGCCTTTCCAGTGGCCGCCTCAAAGAAGTCATCTTTTCTTCTCCTTAGAAATGTTCATAACACAACACAGTGATCAGAAATAATAATACCAAATAGAAGTGTCATTTCCTAAGGGGAAAACACATTGCTCTTGGCAATGACCCTCAGCAGCATTCCTGGAAATGAGCAGAATTCAGGGTTTCAAGCACCACAGTGAAGGAAATATCTAGTAGCAGGAGTAATGGAAACAAAAACACGAAAGAAAGAGAATGGTTCAGAAGAGTCGTAATTGTTCACTTTAGCTTCATCACAAATCTAAATGGCGGCGCTGGAGAACCTCACCGAGGAGCCTCACAGTCCATTTCGCTCAGCTCTCTGCCGCCACCTTCCCCGATCTGCGCGGCGCTCCGACGTTACTCCGGGACTGGGGTTGGGCACGCAGCAGAGCGGCTGCGGGAGGGCTCACAATGGAGACCAACGGGATGTTCTTCTCGCAGGTCCAACGGCGTCACCGAATCTCCAAGGGCACACGATCTCCAAAAGAAGGCTGCCTTCTGTCGAACTCAGTTGCCGACCTTGATGTCATTTTGTCTGTCTGAAGAAAATCTCAGCTCCTCTTTAAGTCCGGTTTCATGTATCTTCTCCCCCGCTTACTTGTCTCCATAGAACTAATCTCTCCTCTCCTGGTACCACTCACACCCTGTATCTGTGTTCATAATAGCCCTTTTATAATAGGATTTATGGAAAATTCTTCACATTCGTTACCCCTGCCACGCTGGGAGCAACTGAAGGGCCGGGCTGTCTCTCACGTGTCATTCTCTGCAGAGCTCATCCAAGGCCTGGCTCTCGGCAGGGGCAGTAGCAGCTGTTCAATGAAACCAACGGGCAGCGGTGCTAGCTGGCCTGGCTGGGGTTTCTCGGGGGGTGAGGAGTCTGGAGGAAAAGCCTGCTGCCTCCTTTGGAGTGATGCTAGAGCTGCCATCACAGCGGAGGCCAGAACTGGAGTCTGGGGCACACTGACACTGACACTGGTAAGCCAAGGTGGCAGGGACAGGCCCTCCCAGGGGGACAAATCACTGCAGGCGAGAGGGAGAGCCCAAGAGCGCCTAAGACTGGCCCAAACCCCAGCCACGCAAGGCACTGCTCCGTGCAGCCAGAGAAAAGGCAGAGGGAAGTAAAGGCACAGTTAGCCATAAAACGGGAGGTTCTGGGGAGGCGTCTGGATAGCTTTCTACGGAGACCTTGGGCGTGGAAAGCCAAGTTTCCTGCTGCTTTGGTGGCCTGTCGATTCTGGAACGGCCCATCTGTTCGCTTTTGCCATTGCATTGGGGAGACAGAGCGGCTGGTGCTGAAGTGGAGGGAGTTGCTGGAGATGGGCGCAGTTAGACGGGGTGGAGTTTGAAGGCAGGAAACCGACCACCTGTGGGTGTGCGCACTGCGGCGTAAAGTGTGACTGTTACTCTGACCGACACATGGCTTCCGGTCGCTGTGACTTCCTTCCATGGCTGTCGGGTTCTCTCTGTCCGAAGCATGTACCATGAGTTTCAGGCCATGACGAAGAAAAGTCAGTCTCTTGGAGAGGTGCTCTTTGCAAGACCTGTTGGACTAGAAAGAGGGTCTGGTATGTTCACCGCCACGATGGGAGGGCGGCTGGGGAGAGTGGCCGCGAGTAAGCACGCGCACACAGGCGTGAAGCAGCACCGTTTTCTCCGCAGGTCTCTTTAAAATAAAAGGTGTGCTGAACAGACACACAGACCAATGCAACAGAACAGAGCCCAGAAGTAAACCCAAGTCTCTCTGGTCAGTGAATGTTTGACAAAGGGGGCAGCAGCATAGAAAGAAAGTGCACTGACCCTGGGCGGAGCCGAGAGGTGCCCTGCTGCGGCTGGACGTGGGCAGACCCGCTCTGGAGAGGGGGAGAGGGCCTGCCGTGAGTCCCCTGCACCCCAGCCCCCCAAGAGGTTGTCCTGCGGGGCTTCCGAAGCCCGGACACGTCCAGGAGGGGTGGGGGTGGGGCTGTGGCGGGTTTAGCTGTGGTGGGGAGGAGGTGGAGCTAACTGTCGCGGTCGCCGGTTCACTAGGACGGATGGGGTTAACCAGTGAGGTGTTGGGTGGGCGGGGTATGCTGTACTGAAGTCCACGGAAGACGAGTCCCAGGACTGTCCTGGAGTGGGAATGGAGCAGATACCATGTACCTACCCTCATGTTCTCTACTGGAGACATGGGAAGGTCGAGACCCATGACCTCCTATCCCATACAGCTAGGGGTGCTGCATGGCTCTGGCCAATAATCTGTTGGCGGAAGTTCCTGGGGGGAGACTTCTCTTTCTAAGTAAGCCAGAGCCCCATCAGGAATAAGCCCTCTGCTTCCCCCGCTTTCCCTTCACCTGATGGAAGGTCAGACCTGAGGCCCCAAGGGGCAGAAGTTGTCACATGATCACGAGACGACAGCATGGAAATAAAGGTCTATGTGCAAAGGACAAAAGGACCCACATGCCTGCCCGATGGCACCATTCTGATGTTCTCGAACTCTGCACTAGGGGCCCCTGCAGTCCCGGAGCACGAGACAAACAGGCTCCTGTTCCGGCCACTGTCACAGTTTTCTGTTATCTGCCGCTAAGCTCTACCCAGCGGGTTAAAGCAAGCGAGGATGGGGCCTCGGGCTTCCTGGGGGTTCTGGTCACAGCACAGGGCTGTGGCTGTCCTTCACCTCCTGTCAGGCTCTGGCGCTTGTCTGGGGAGGAGCACGGCGTCACGCTGTGTCTGCACACACTATGACCCCGCCAGAGCAGGCAGAGGCAGGGGCTGGCTGCCAGGGAGCCCTTCCGGGACGGCCCCTCCGCGCACGTCTTCTGACCGGTCCCGAGGCTGGCCAGGTGTTGCTGAACGGAGGGGGTTAGGCAGGTGCTAGCCCAGCAGGACCACGTGGGGGCAAAACCCTCGGGCTGGAGGACTGGGAGACTGGACGGTCCCAGCGAGAGGAGTATCAGGTGAAATCTTCTTGCAAGGGGAGTTCTTCGGTGATCTTTATTTCTTCCAGATTGTTTTCAACCTTTTCCTCGTGGTGCCAAATGTGGCTTTTAGCAATGTGAAAACCAGACTTAAAAATGTAATTCTTCCATTCTAAAATTTCCGCAGAACTTGGAGGAATGTTTATTATTCACACAATGCAGTATGCATTTCTCCATAAACCAAGAGAATGTGGTTATTAGAACCATCCACTTGGTTTGCAAACAGATACGCTTATCTATGTGATAATAAGTTCACCAAAGTGCAAAACACAACTCGAAGTGGATAATTTTAAGAAAATCATACATTTTTTAGAGTGGTGGATAATTTATACATATAAATGTAAAATTTTCTTTAGAGGAAAAACAGAAAAATCTTGTCATTTAATTCTAACACAGAGATTATATTCTAGCACCACATCTAATCACCTTTTCCCTAACTACCTAATGCTAACCACACACACACACAAACCCCTTTTTCTTCGTTGCTGAATTTTAGGCTAAACTTCCACGGGTCAGCGAGGTTGCAGCTGGCGTGCTGGCCTCGGCAGCACGCCTACGAACACTGGGGCGACACGGAGAGGAGCAGCGGGGCCCCTGCGCCAGGATGACATGCAAGCCCGTGGAGCTGCAGCTGGCCTTCACGCGTCGACCTCCCCGAGCTA